TTTTCTCCTTATTGATGTGTGTATCTATTTAGTATGTTGTTGTTGTTGATATCTAAGAACTAGATGTGTTCTTGATGTATTGTTAGCCTTTGGAGTTGGCTCTAGAGAAGAAACTGTGTATCCCATTATTTTATAGTGGATGGCTCTTTTACTGGACTAGGTCCCGGGGTTTTTCCCTTCACAGGGTTTTCCTCGTTAACAAATCTTGGTGTTCAATTTATATTCTTGCCGGTGTGTGTGAGTTGTTGGAGCTAGTCATTACTTCCGTCTGTTTAATTCTGCACATGGAGGGATTGATATATTATTATTTCCGCTGCTTGTGTATTGTATTGGTTCAATCCCCAACACAATGTATGTCTATATAAAGAAGATGATACAAAGGGTTTGGTGTGAGAGCCAAAACATTCAAAGTAATTCTTTGAATGATATGTAATATCTCTGCTTCATTTTACATTTTACATGGTATCAGAGGCTATTAAATTCCAACGAGCAATTCAATCTGATTAAAACTCAAAAAATGAGTACATAAATTTCAAAATTGGTTTGCTCAAAACGAGTCACCATCTTGCGGAGGGATTTTAAGAAATAAAATCTCACATCGAATAAAAATGAAAACATAGACCAATTTATAAGAGTTTTGACTACTCCTCTTAATAAGGTTGACAGTTTAAGATGAAACTCCAAATATTAACATGATATCAGAGCATGTTGTTCAACATTTGCCTCTCTTGTACTCCTGTGCTATGGTGTGATAATATTGGTGCTATAGAATTAGCATCTAATCTTGTTTTTCATGCTATAACTAAACATATAGAGATTGACTATCATTTTGTTCGAGAGAAGGTGGTTAACAACGATATTCAGGTCAAATATGTCTCTACTTGAGATCATATTACTGATATTTTCACGAAAGGACATATAGCTCTTCGGTTTCATTTGCTGCATAACAAACTGATGGTAACTCTCCTTCCCATTAGTTTGGAGGAGGGTGTTAGAGAATATTGGATTTTGGAGTTGCACATTTAGGGGCTACAGATATACTATGACAGTTAACTTTTGCATTTTCTGAGGATAGTTATTTTTTGAGTTCAATTGTTTAAACTTAATCCTTTATAGATTGATTCTTGCTAACTAATTCGTTGATATTCTGATATTAGTTTCAATGTATGTCTATATAAAGAAAATGACATAAAGGGTTTGGTGTGAGAGCCAAAACATTCAAAGTAGTCTTTGAGTTTTGTGTAATATCTCTGCTTCATTTTACATTTTACAGGATTTACTACTTCCTTTAAGTCAGATTGGCAATGCCATTTTACTGCCATTTGAATCTGACACTTGGAACCTTTTGTTTATCCACCCGTTAAAATGCCCTTAGACTTCCTTTCACTTTGTGTGGTTAAATCTTTAGGCAGTGTTGACTACCTTCATTCAGACAAATGTAGTTAATGCGATGTTTGAGTTGAACTTTATATATTTTTCATTTGCGTATAATGAAAATCTTTTGGTGCATATTTGTCTTCACATATTACCCGGTGTTGACTACCTTCATTCAGACAATTCTTTTGTTTTTTTTGGGTAGTGAAGATATTATTTAGTGCAATAATTTGAATTTGTTGCTTTTACAATATCTTTTCTAGGAGATTTGATGTGTAAACATATACGAGTCCTCGGTGTACAAAATTTTCATTCATTTTATCTTTCGAAGAAGATTTTATGACATGGGACACTATCATGAATGAATTACATAAAAGTAAATTACTACAGCAAACACCTATTGTAAGAACGTCTACTAAAACTCACAATTACTATCTACGATTGCAAACCGTCGTATATAATAATTTCAGAACTTTTTTTGTAATTGAAAGTGGGGAAATGATGTGAAATGGAGATTAAATTCAAGATATGTATGTTTGGTAATCCAAGGAAACCAAATTATATATTTTGTGCTTTTGGGAATTTCGAATGGTGGATGCAACATCAAATTTTGTTAAAAGAAAGCTGGTTAGATGTTGCACTAAATTCTGTTCTTGTTAGTCGAGATTAGTGCTTTGATACTATGTAGATCTTAGAATAAACACAATGTTTTGAGGAAAATTAAACACGCTTCAATTTATTTGGTACTTGATATATAGAGTTTGCAGGAGTTTTTACATAGAGTGAAAGTACCGATAAAGATAATTATGGCTAATATTTGTTATTCTCTCTAACAGTCACAAGTAGAGGAATCTTTTTAGCGACAGTCTCTCCAGGGGATTCTGTCATGTCCAAATCTTTTTCTATTGCTCCATGTGGCAAGGCAAACTTAAAATTAAGCATCAATTTTGCTAATGCAAGCTCGTCGACGGCTATGGCAAATGTAATTCCAGGACAGCCTCTCCTACCGGCACCAAATGGAATGTACTCAAAATTAAGCCCTCTATAGTCCATTCCCGTGTCTAAAAATCTTTCTGGACAAAAATCTTCCGGATTTTCCCACGAAAATGGGTCTCTTGCGATTGCCCAGGAATTGATTATCACTCGGGTTCCAACTGCAATGTCATAGCCTAATATTTCGCTATCTTGTGTAGATTCTCGAGGGAGTAACAATGGAGCTGGAGGATGTAGTCGTAGACTCTCTTTCATCACTGCCTTTAAATAGAGCATTTTATCTAAATCATCCTCTGTTATATCTAATTTACTTCCGGCTACTTGTCTCACCTCGTTCTGCAGCTTCTCCATGGATTTTGGGTGCTTTAATAGCTCTGCCATTGTCCACACCAAAGCAGTAGATGATGTCTCGGTCCCGGCCACAAACATATCCTGCCATAAACGAGGTATGCATGTAAGATCCAAATATGCTTTAATGGTCTATCAACAGATCAGTGAACCTTCTTCACTTTCTGTTAAAACTATTCCTTTTGCTGTTAGTGAGTGAAAGAAATCTGCGGTGAAATGTGGGAAAGTATCTGTACATCTTATCTCATTCAAATGCCTTGATTGATTTAGGTTATCAAAACGAACTCTCTCTAAAAGAAAAAGACTAGATTTTTACCAAATTGTATTCAAGTTTAGAGAAAATTTAAAATAGTTCACAAAATTTCCAACAAAGTATGATATTCACTGCTAATTCAGACACTTGGACACATTCAAATAGAGAAAGAGAGAGAGATTCTTACAAAGATGACAGCTTTGATTGTATCATTTTCTATAGGGGAACCAGCCATGTTTTCTCTCTGAATTTCGAGCAATATGTCCACAAGATCTGCTTCATTGCTGCTGTCTTTCAGGTTTGTCTCTCCTTTCTTTCGATTTCTGTGCTCTTCAACTACACCTTCCAAAAAATCGTCAAACCATATAGCCAATTTCTCTACATTTGCATCGAAACCATTAACGCGATTAATCCAGTCAAGCCATGGAATGTAATCTCCTAGATTAAAAAAACCTGATAACTCTTGAAATTCCTTCAACTTCGACACAATTTTTGTGCTTTCTTGTGCATCAGTATATTTCCCCCCCAGGGCCACTCGACATATGATATCATTAGTAAGCGACACCAATATATTGCTCAAGTTTATTGAAGATGAAGAAGAATGTCTAATTTTCTCGATCATAAGGGACATTTCTTCTTCTCGTATACGACGGAAGGATTGAACCCTCTTATTACTCAAAAGATGAAGCACACATATACTTCTCACCTGCCTCCAGTACTCACCATAAGGAGCAAAAGCTATGTCCTTGGAGCCATAAATAATTTTGTCGATAACTCTCAATTTCGGCCTGTTTGAGAAAACCACGTCCTGATTTTTCATGATCTCGCGAGCACCATCAGCAGACGAGACAATAAGCACTGGCAATCTGCCCAGATGAAGCAGCATGAGTGGACCATAGCATCTGGATAGTGCTTGCAGTGAGCGATGGGGGAGTAGGCCGAGTTGGTGAAGATTTCCAATTACGGGAAGCTTTGGTGGAGATGGTGGCAATCTTTTCCGGGCTGTTGAAGAAGGATTACCATACCATTTGAAGAGGAAAACGATGAACAAAATTAAGGAAACAAGAGGAACTATAAAATGTGAAAAAGAAATCATTTTCTTTTATCCGCAGATGAATTCAGCTAGATATTCATATAATGCTCTACTATTTAATTAGGCAGACTTACAGCTGAAATTATAATTTTGAAATTTTCATTTTCATCTCTATTTGAGTGGTCCATTTGATATTGTACAATTCGATCATGATCACCCATATTAAATTGATTATGCCCACAAAATATAGAGATTGGGATATATATATATATATATATATATATCGACAAACAAATCCTTTTGTTAAAGTTGTACATACATTTCTTTAGTACAATGAAAGTTAGCTAAAATAAACATGATTGTTACCAAATATAAACCACATAACATGGGGTGGGATTGCCTGAGACGTACGTTTCTTTCTCTTGTCGAGGAAAGTTTATACTTAGCAAACAATTTCATGGTGTAAAAAGAAAATTGGGTTTAAAACTTTGGTGGTCACCAAACTTCCAAAATGTGCTATTTTAGTCATCAAACCACTTTTTCAACGTCGATGGTCACAGAGCTTATGAGATTTTCTGTACTAGATCACTCGTCAAGTATTCGTTAACAATATTGTTGCTTATGTGATTGTGTCAATTGATAAGACGTCATTAGAATGCAAATGAATATTGTAAAGGAAATGCCTCAAGCCTGATTATTAGTTTTCAATATTGTTGCTTATGTGATTGTGTCAATTGATAAGACGTCATTAGAATGCAAATGAATATTGTAAAGGAAATGACTCAAGCCTGAATGCTAGGAGGTGATCTTTATTTATATAATAAATCTGTACAAGTATAAACAAGGAAATAATTTGAGTAGCAAAGGAAATATCCGGCAATTAAGGTGAATCAGTGATAGGCTAGAATCATGGAGAATCAACTGTCATCTTGGTCACAATCAGTGGATGCGGATTCTCCTCTAATATCCCCCCTCAAAGTTGGCGTAGGCGAAATGGGGAAAACGCACAACTTGCCACAATCCAAGAGAAATTGTAATTTTGGCACCCCTTTAGTGAAAACATCTGCCAATTGAAGATGAGAAGGAATGAACCCGAGAGTGAGGACCCGTCGAGCTACTAGTTCCCGTACAAAATGATAATCGATGTCAATGTGTTTGGAGCGGGGTTTGGTGACCGGGTTGGTGGCAATAAAGATGGCACTTTTGTTATCGCATAACAATCTTGGAGGAGAGGGGAGTGTGATATGAAGCTCGCGAAGGAGCTGAAGTGTCCAGGAAAGCTCAGCAGCAACAGAGGCTAGAGCACGGTATTCGGCTTCAGCACTGGAGCGACCAACAGTAGTTTGCTTTTTCGAACACCACGAGATGAGACTTCGACCGAAGTAAACAGCATAGCCTGTTGTAGAACGCCGAGTTACGGGGCATCCGGCCCAATCTGCATCAGAATAACCAAGCAAAATCGAAGAAGAATCTTGTGAGAGTTGTAAGCCATAATGATAGGTGCCCTTAACATATAGTAAAATACACTTCAAGGCACGGAAGTGATCAGTAGTAGGAGCATGCATATATTGACATATAGAGTTAACACTGTAAGATAGATCAGGTCGGGTAAGAGTCAGATATTGTAAAGCTCCTGCCAGTGATCGAAACTGAGTAGCATCAGAATGAGCAGTCCCAGATTCAGTTAGGTGAGATCCTACTAGAAAAGGAGTGGAAATAGGATTGCAATCCACCATGTTTGCCCGAGTCAACATATCAAGAGCATATTTTGTTTGGCTAAGAAAAATTCCTTTTTCATTTCGAATAACCTCAATTCCCAAAAAATAGTGTAAATCACCAAGATCCTTCATTGAAAATTCTCGTGACAATCGATCAATGAGTGTACGAAGCATAGACTGATTATTGCCAGTAATCACCATATCATCGACATATAAGAGGAGATAAATAACACCATGAGGACCATGACACACAAAGAGTGAGGAATCAGCACGACTTGCAATAAAACCAAGGCCAAGCAAAAACTGATTGAAACGTTGGAACTATGCCCGTGGGGCCTGTTTTAGACCATAAAGAGCACGTTGCAAACGACAAACATGAGAAGGGAATTGAGGATCAGTGTATCTCGAGGGTTGTTCCATGTAAACTTCCTCGGTAAGAAACCATGCAAAAACTCATTTTTGACGTCAAGTTGATGAAGTGACCAACCATGCATAACAGCTAGGGACAAAATAAGTCGAACAGTGGCAGGCCGAACAACTGGACTGAATGTTTCATTGAAATCAATGCCATGTTTTTGAGAAAAACCTTGGGCTACAAGACGAGCTTTATGACGTTCTACAGAGCCATCTGCTCGAAGCTTGGTCTTAAAGATCCATCGAAAGCCCACAACATTATGATCATTTGGACGCGGAACCAAACGCCATGTGTTATTGTGCTTGAGAGCGGCAATTTCATCGTCCATAGCGGAAAGCCACTCGGGATGCTTGACAGTTGACTTAAAACCACGAGGCTCCTTGACAGCAAGATGTACCTAAAACCATGGTGGAGCAGACAAAGCATATAATGAATGAAGAGTGCGGGGTTTAATAATACCGTCCTTAGCACGAGTAACCATAGGGTGAGTAGCGGTCGGCAATTGACTAGAGGAAGAAGAAACATGAGGTATGACTTCCAATGCTGTTGCCGGCAATGAAGGCTGAGAAGTATCTTCAGGAGGCAGTGATGGAATACTTGAATCAACACAAGGAACACACAAGGTGGGGCCAGGGGCCGGGCGATGAGCTGAAGTCACACCTGAGGAGGAAGTATCACTAGAAAGAAAACTATCAGAAGGGTCATCAAAAGTGACATATTCAACACCATCCAAAGGAGGAAGAGTCGAGTTGGAAGCATAAGGAAAAAAATCTTCGAAAAAATGGACATGGCGAGAAGTATAGACCCTGTTAGTTGTCTTATCTAAGCAACGAAAACCTTTGTGAAGATGACTATAGCCAATAAAAACACAAGGAAGAGACCTTGGAGATAATTTATGAGGCATATAATCTCGCAGAAAAGGAAAACAAAGGCAACCAAATGTACGTAACAAGGAATAAGTAGGAGGATAACCATATAAAATTTCGTAAGGGGACTTACCATGAAGAACCGGTGATGGGAGGCGATTAATGAGATAACATGCCATGGAAAAAGACTCAACCCATAAACGTAAAGGTACATGAGAATGAAACATGAGTGTGAGACCAGTTTCAGTAATGTGACGATGCTTTCTCTCGGCGATACCGTTTTGATTTGGTGTATAAGGACAAGCGATACGCTGAATTATACCATTCTCATGAAGAAAATAGGTAAAACACAATAGTACTTGTATCCGGAAGGAGAAGTAACTGGTGAGGGACCCCATAAATCGCAATGTATCCTTTCAAATAAAGAGTCACAACGTTGATCTAAATTGGAGAAAGGTAAACGATGACTTTTGCCCAATTGACAACCAAAACAAGGTTTAGAATCAATCATACTTTTATTAGAAATGTTAATAACACCATTCTTATTTAAAGAGGAAACAATGCGAAAAGATGGATGTCCTAGTCGTGCATGCCAAGTGACAGATGAAGCACAAGAGGTACATTGAGAAAGACTAGATAAAAAACTTGCATGACCACGGTCAAGAACATAGAGCCCTTTCTCACATCGCCCGACTCCCACCACCATTCTTGTTGCTAGATCCTGTATGGTAAAACTAGAAGAAGAAAAAGTAACTGAACAATTGTTCTCACGAGTAAGCTTGCTAATTGACAATAAATTTTTAGTAAGACTAGGCACAAGGAGAATATCAGATAAAGGTAAAGGATGAGAAGTAACAATGAATGTAATTGAACCGATACGAGAAATAGGCATGGAAGTACCGTTACCAACATACACCTGCTGATTACCAGTATAAGGAATAGAATTATCAAGTGCAGCGACATCATTCGTCATATGCGAAGTAGCTCCAGTATCTGTATACCACTCGGAATCAGTCGATTCATCAATAGAAGTAGCAGCAAAGGCTTCAATCAAACCATCCGCCTTGGCTTTCTTCAGTAACTTGCCAAGCTAATGACATTTCTTGGCAGTGTGCCTCTCTTTACTACACCACTAACAGGTAACGCCCGGAGTCTTGGAAAAATATCCAGGAGAGGACGAAGAGAAGGCAGGCGTTGGGCGACCAGAAGAAGAACCTCGTTTGGCAACAAGAGCCGACTGGGAGGATGAGTCACCATGAAGGGACCGAGAGAAAAGCTCATGGCTGAGGGCTTTCGGTACCAAGTTAGCGAAAGAAGGCAGCGGCAATTGTGACAGCATTGAGGTAGAAAAATTTTTGTAATCAGATCCAAGACTACGAAGAAACCAATGTACCTTATCTGTGTCATCAACGGGTTTGCCAATAGCACTAAGCTGATCACACAAAGAGCGAAAAGAACGAGCATATTCAGCAACACCACGAGAGCCTCGATGCATCAGCTGGAGTTCGTCTTTCAATTGAATCTCTCGAGTCTTAGAACTGTGCGAAAAAGAGGCTTCAAGAGCGACCCAAGCATCACGGGCAGTGGAGCAATCCACAACTTCAGCCATACATTCCTCAGTCAGAGAGGCATAAAGAAGGCTGAGTATTAGCCGATCCTGTGTGTGCCATTTCTTGTAAGCAGGATTCGGAACCAGATCAGTACCCTGGAGAATCTGAGTAGAAGGTGCCAGAATAGACCCATCTAGATAACCCATTAAATCCTGACTTTCCAGTAAAGGAATAAATTGACGACGCCACGGGAGGTAGTTTGTAGGAGTGAGTTTGATGGTCACCATGTGAACCATCGTATTGAGCGGAAGCTGGTTGGTGGAAGAAGCAGCCATGGAAGCTTGAAAGGAGGTCTCGACAAGGATTTCTCAAACTGGCTCTGATACCATGTAAAGGAAATGCCTCAAGCCTGAATGCTATGAGGTGATCTTTATTTATACAATAAATCTGTACAAGTATAAACAAGGAAATAATTTGAGTATATACAGTAAAGGAAATATCCGGCAATTAAGGT